CACTGCACCGTCACACGCACCGTCACACGCACCGTCACTTGCACCGTCACATGCACAGTCACACGCACCGTCACTTGCACCGTCACTTGCACCGTCACACGCACCGTCACACGCACCGTCACTTGCACCGTCACACGCACCGTCACATGCACCGTCACATGCACCGTCACACGCACCGTCACTTGCACCGTCACACGCACCGTCACACGCACCGTCACTTGCACCGTCACTTGCACCGTCACACGCACCGTCACACGCACCGTCATATGCACCGTCACACGCACCGTCACACGCACCGTCACTTGCACCGTCACACGCACCGTCACACGCACCGTCACTTGCACCGTCACACGCACCGTCACACGCACCGTCACACGCATCGTCACTTGCAACGTCACATGCACCGTAACACGCACCGTCACATGCAACCGTCACTGCACCGTCACTTGCACCGTCACTTGCACCGTCACATTGCACCGTCCACTTGCACCGTCACTTGCACCGTCACTTGCACCGTCACATGCACCGTCACTTGCACGTCACACGCACCGTCACTTGCACCGTCACTTGCACCGTCACTTGCACCGTCACACGCACCGTCACACGCACCGTCACTTGCACCGTCACATGCACCGTCACACGCACCGTCACTTGCACCGTCACACGCACCGTCACTTGCACCGTCACACGCACCGTCACACGCACCGTCACACGCACCGTCACACGCACCGTCACTTGCACCGTCACTTGCACCGTCACTTGCACCGTCACATGCACCGTCACACGCACCGTCACATGCACCGTCACTTGCACCGTCACTTGCACCGTCACTTGCACCGTCACATGCACCGTCACTTGCACCGTCACACGCACCGTCACACGCACCGTCACTTGCACCGTCACTTGCACCGTCACTTGCACCGTCACTTGCACCGTCACTTGCACCGTCACTTGCACCGTCACATGCACCGTCACTTGCACCGTCACTTGCACCGTCACTTGCACCGTCACATGCACCGTCACATGCACCGTCACATGCACCGTCACTTGCACCGTCACTTGCACCGTCACTTGCACCGTCACATGCACCGTCACATGCACCGTCACTTGCACCGTCACTTGCACCGTCACTTGCACCGTCACTTGCACTGTCACACGCACCGTCACACGCACCGTCACTTGCACCGTCACATGCACCGTCACACGCACCGTCACTTGCACCGTCACTTGCACCGTCACACGCACCGTCACTTGCACCGTCACACGCACCGTCACACGCACCGTCACACGCACCGTCACTTGCACCGTCACTTGCACCGTCACTTGCACCGTCACATGCACCGTCACACGCACCGTCACATGCACCGTCACTTGCACCGTCACTTGCACCGTCACTTGCACCGTCACATGCACCGTCACTAGCACCGTCACACGCACCGTCACACGCACCGTCACACGCACCGTCACTTGCACCGTCACTTGCACCGTCACTTGCACCGTCACTTGCACCGTCACATGCACCGTCACTTGCACCGTCACTTGCACCGTCACTTGCAACGTCACATGCACCGTCACATGCACCGTCACATGCACCGTCACTTGCACGGTCACTTGCACCGTCACTTGCACCGTCACTTGCACCGTCACTTGCACCGTCACATGCACCGTCACATGCACCGTCACTTGCACCGTCACTTGCACCGTCACATGCACCGTCACTTGCACCGTCACTTGCACCGTCACTTGCACCGTCACTTGCACCGTCACTTGCACCGTCACTTGCACCGTCACTTGCACCGTCACACGCACCGTCACACGCACCGTCACACGCACCGTCACACGCACCGTCACACGCACCGTCACTTGCACCGTCACTTGCACCGTCACACGCACCGTCACACGCACCGTCACACGCACCGTCACACGCACCGTCACTTGCACCGTCACTTGCACGCACCGCCCGTCACACGCACCGTCACACGCACCGTCACTTGCCACGTCATTGCACCGTCACTTGCACCGTCACTTGCACCGTCACACGCACCGTCACTTGCACCGTCACACGCACCGTCACACGCACCGTCACACGCACCGTCACTTGCACCGTCACTTGCACCGTCACTTGCACCGTCACATGCACCGTCACACGCACCGTCACATGCACCGTCACTTGCACCGTCACTTGCACCGTCACTTGCACCGTCACATGCACCGTCACACGCACCGTCACACGCACCGTCACACGCACCGTCACTTGCACCGTCACTTGCACCGTCACTTGCACCGTCACATGCACCGTCACATGCACCGTCACATGCACCGTCACATGCACCGTCACACGCACCGTCACACGCACCGTCACATGCACCGTCACTTGCACCGTCACACGCACCGTCACACGCACCGTCACACGCACCGTCACTTGCACCGTCACTTGCACCGTCACTTGCACCGTCACACGCACCGTCACTTGCACCGTCACTTGCACCGTCACACGCACCGTCACTTGCACCGTCACTTGCACCGTCACACGCACCGTCACACGCACCGTCACTTGCACCGTCACATGCACCGTCACACGCACCGTCACTTGCACCGTCACTTGCACCGTCACACGCACCGTCACACGCACCGTCACTTGCACCGTCACACGCACCGTCACATGCACCGTCACACGCACCGTCACTTGCACCGTCACACGCACCGTCACACGCACCGTCACTTGCACCGTCACTTGCACCGTCACACGCACCGTCACACGCACCGTCATATGCACCGTCACACGCACCGTCACACGCACCGTCACTTGCACCGTCACACGCACCGTCACACGCACCGTCACTTGCACCGTCACACGCACCGTCACACGCACCGTCACACGCATCGTCACTTGCACCGTCACATGCACCGTCACACGCACCGTCACATGCACCGTCACTTGCACCGTCACTTGCACCGTCACTTGCACCGTCACTTGCACCGTCACTTGCACCGTCACTTTGCACCGTCAATGCACCGTCACTTGCACCGTCACACGCACGTCACTTGCACCGTCACTTTGCACCGTCACTTGCACCGTCACACGCACCGTCACACGCACCGTCACTTGCACCGTCACATGCACCGTCACACGCACCGTCACTTGCACCGTCACTTGCACCGTCACACGCACCGTCACTTGCACCGTCACACGCACCGTCACACGCACCGTCACACGCACCGTCACACGCACCGTCACTTGCACCGTCACTTGCACCGTCACTTGCACCGTCACTTGCACCGTCACACGCACCGTCACATGCCCGTCACTTGCACCGTCACTTGCACCGTCACTTGCACCGTCACATGCACCGTCACTTGCACCGTCACACGCACCGTCACACGCACCGTCACTTGCACCGTCACTTGCACCGTCCCTTGCACCGTCACTTCACCGTCACTTGCACCGTACTTGCACCGTCACTTGCACCGTCACATGCACCGTCACTTGCACCGTCACTTGCACCGTCACTTGCACCGTCACATGCACCGTCACATGCACCGTCACATGCACCGTCACTTGCACCGTCACTTGCACCGTCACTTGCACCGTCACATGCACCGTCACATGCACCGTCACTGCACCGTCACTTGCACCGTCACTTGCACCGTCACTTGCACCGTCACATGCACCGTCACACGCACCGTCACACGCACCGTCACTTGCACCGTCACTTGCACCGTCACTTGCACCGTCACACGCACCGTCACTTGCACCGTCACTTGCACCGTCACTTGCACTGTCACTTGCACCGTCACTTGCACCGTCACACGCACCGTCACACGCACCGTCACACGCACCGTCACTTGCACCGTCACTTGCACCGTCACTTGCACCGTCACTTGCACCGTCACTTGCACCGTCACATGCACCGTCACATGCACCGTCACTTGCACCGTCACTTGCACCGTCACTTGCACCGTCACTTGCACCGTCACTTGCACCGTCACATGCACCGTCACATGCACCGTCACTTGCACCGTCACTTGCACCGTCACTTGCACCGTCACACGCACCGTCACACGCACCGTCACACGCACCGTCACACGCACCGTCACACGCACCGTCACTTGCACCGTCACTTGCACCGTCACTTGCACCGTCACTTGCACCGTCACATACACCGTCACATACACCGTCACATGCACCGTCACTTGCACCGTCACACGCACCGTCACACGCACCGTCACACGCACCGTCACTTGCACCGTCACTTGCACCGTCACTTGCACCGTCACTTGCACCGTCACATACACCGTCACATACACCGTCACATGCACCGTCACTTGCACCGTCACACGCACCGTCACACGCACCGTCACTTGCACCGTCACTTGCACCGTCACATGCACCGTCACATGCACCGTCACGGTGATCAACACCAACACCGGCACCTGCACTGGTGGCGACGCCAACACTTTGGTTGTACTTGTCTAGTTGATTGTGCTCATGATGTTGATGATGGTATTGATGATGGTGATAATACTGATGTTATTGATGATGATGATGTTGTTGATGGTATTGATGGTGGTGGTGATGGTATTGATGGTGGTGATGGTATTGATGGTGGTGATGGTATTGATGGTGGTGGTGATGGTATTGATGGTGAATGTGGTGGTGATGATATTGATGGTGGTGGTGATGGAGGTGGTGATTGTGGTGGTGGTGGTGATGGTGATGGTATTGATGGTGGTACTGATGGTGGTGGTGGTGGTGGTGGTGATGGTATTGATGGTGATGGTATTGATGGTGGTGGTGGTGATGGTGGTGGTGGTATTGATGGTGATGGTATTGATGGTGGTGGTGGTGATGGTGGTGATGGTATTGATGGTGATGGTATTGATGGTGGTGGTGGTGATGGTGGTGATGGTATTGATGGTGATGGTATTGATGGTGGTGGTGGTGATGGTGCTGGTGATGGTGTTGATGTTGTTGATGGTATTTGTGTTGGTGTCTGCAGGTGGAGTACCGGTTGGGGTTCCAGGTGGACGATCCGATCGCCATGGACCCCCCCACGGTGAACGTCACGTGGAACGGAGCGGTGCCCCGACTCCCCTCCGGTACGGGGCGCACATATACAGCGTGTCCCCGTGTCTCTCTGTGTCTCACCGCGTCTCACTGTGTCTCTCTGTGTCTCACTGTGTCTCACTGTGTCTCACTGTGTCTCACCGTGTCTCTCCGTGTCTCACTGTGTCTCACCGCGTCTCACCGTGTCTCCCCGTGTCTCACCGTGTCCCCGTGTCTCACCGTGTCTCACCGCGTCTCACTGTGTCTCTCTGTGTCTCACTGCGTCTCTCCGTGTCTCACCGTGTCTCCCCGTGTCTCTCTGTGTCTCACTGTGTCTCACCGTGTCTCACCGTGTCTCACTGTGTCTCACTGTGTCTCACCGTCTCACTGTGTCTCACCGCGTCTCACCGTGTCTCTCTGTGTCTCACTGTGTCTCACCGTCTCACTGTGTCTCACCGCGTCTCACCGCGTCTCACCGTGTCTCACTGTGTCTCACCGCGTCTCACCGCGTCTCACCGTGTCTCACTGTGTCTCACTGTGTCTCACTGTGTCTCACTGTGTCTCACCGTCTCACCGCGTCTCACTGTGTCTCACTGTGTCTCACCGTGTCTCTCCGTGTCTCACTGTGTCTCACCGTGTCTCACTGTGTCTCACCGCGTCTCACTGTGTCTCACCGCGTCTCACTGTGTCTCACTGTGTCTCACTGTGTCTCACCGTGTCTCACCGTGTCTCACCGTGTCTCACCGTGTCTCTCTGTGTCTCACCGTGTCTCACCGTGTCTCACTGTGTCTCACTGTGTCTCACTGTGTCTCACCGTGTCTCACCGTGTCTCACTGTGTCTCTCTGTGTCTCACCGTGTCTCTGTGTCTCACTGTGTCTCTCTGTGTCTCACTGTGTCTCTCTGTGTCTCACCGTGTCTCACTGTGTCTCTCTGTGTCTCACTGTGTCTCTCTGTGTCTCACCGTGTCTCACCATGTCTCTCTGTGTCTCACCGTGTCTCTCCGTGTCTCACCGTGTCTTTCCGTGTCTCACCGTGTCTCACCGTGTCTCTCCGCGTCTCTCCGTGTCTCACCGTGTCTCACCGTGTCTCTCCGCGTCTCACCGTGTCTCACCGTGTCTCCCTGTGTCTCACCGTGTCTCACCGTGTCTCACCGTGTCTCACCGTGTCTCTCCGCGTCTCACTGTGTCTCACCGCGTCTCACCGTGTCTCACTGTGTCTCACCGTGTCTCACCGTGTCTCACCCTGTCTCCCCGTGTCTCACTGTGTCTCACTGTGTCTCCCCGTGTCTCTCTGTGTCTCACTGTGTCTCACCGTGTCTCACTGTGTCTCACTGTGTCTCCCCGTGTCTCTCTGTGTCTCACCGTGTCTCATTGTGTCTCTCTGTGTCTCTCTGTGTCTCACCGTGTCTCATTGTGTCTCTCTGTGTCTCATTGTGTCTCTCTGTGTCTCACTGTGTCTCACCGTGTCTCTGCGTGTCTCTGCGTGTCTCACCGTGTCTCACCGTGTCTCACTGTGTCTCCCCGTGTCTCACCGTGTCTCACCCTGTCTCCCCCTGTCTCTCTGTGTCTCCCCGTGTCTCTCTGTGTCTCCCCGTGTCTCACTGTGTGTCACTGTGTGTCACCGTGTCTCACCGCATCTCACCGCGTCTCACCGCGTCCCTGTGTCTCCCCGCGTCTCACCGTGTCCCCGTGTCCCCGTGTCTCACCGCGTCTCACCGTGTCCCCGTGTCTCACCGTGTCTCACCGTGTGTCCCCGCGTCTCACCGCGTCTCACCGCGTCTCACCGCGTCTCACCGCGTCTCACCGCGTCTCACCGTGTGTCTCACCGTGTCTCACCGTGTCTCACCGCGTCTCACCGTGTCCCCGTGTCTCACCGTGTCTCCCCGCGTCTCACCGTGTGTCCCCGCGTCCCCGTGTCTCACCGTGTCTCACTGTGTCTCACCGTGTCTCTCTGTGTCTCACCGTGTCTCACCGCATCTCATTGTGTCTCACCGTGTCTCACCGCGTCTCACTGTGTCTCACTGTGTCTCACTGTGTCTCACCGTGTCTCTCTGTGTCTCACTGTGTCTCACCGTGTCTCACCGCGTCTCACTGTGTCTCACTGTGTCTCACCGTGTCTCACTGTGTCTCACTGTGTCTCACCGTGTCTCACCGTGTCTCACTGTGTGTCTCACCGTGTCTCACTGTGTCTCACCGTGTCTCACCGTGTCTCTCTGTGTCTCACTGTGTCTCACTGTGTCTCACCGTGTCTCACCGTGTCTCTCCGTGTCTCACCATGTCTCACTGTGTCTCACCGCGTCTCACCGTGTCCCCGTGTCTCACCGTGTCTCCCCGCGTCTCACTGTGTCTCACCGTGTCTCACTGTGTCTCACCGTGTCTCTCTGTGTCTCACCGTGTCTCACCGCGTCTCATTGTGTCTAACCGTGTCTCACCGCGTCTCACTGTGTCTCACTGTGTCTCACTGTGTCTCACCGTGTCTCACCGTGTCTCACCGTGTCTCACCGCGTCTCACTGTGTCTCACTGTGTCTCACCGTGTCTCACTGTGTCTCACCGTGTCTCACCGTGTCTCACTGTGTGTCTCACCGTGTCTCACTATGTCTCACCGTGTCTCACCGTGTCTCTCTGTGTCTCACTGTGTCTCACTGTGTCTCACCGTGTCTCACCGTGTCTCTCCGTGTCTCACCGTGTCTCACCGTGTCTCACTGTGTCTCACCGTGTCTCACCGTATCTCACTGTGTCTCACCGTGTCTCTCTGTGTCTCACTGTGTCTCACTGTGTCTCACCGTGTCTCTCCGTGTCTCACCGTATCTCACTGTGTCTCACCGTGTCTCTCCGTGTCTCACTGTGTCTCACCGTGTCTCTCCGTGTCTCACCGTGTCTCACCGTGTCTCACCGTGTCTCACCGTGTCTCACCGTGTCTCACTGTGTCTCACCGTGTCTCACCGTGTCTCTCCGTGTCTCACCGTGTCTCACCGTGTCTCACCGTGTCTCACCGTGTCTCACCGTGTCTCACCGTGTCTCACCGTGTCTCACCGTGTCTCTCTGTGTCTCACCGTGTCTCACCGTGTCTCTCTGTGTCTCACCGTGTCTCACCGTGTCTCACCGTGTCTCACCGTGTCTCACTGTGTCTCACCGTGTCTCACCGTGTCTCACTGTGTCTCACCGTGTCTCACCGTGTCTCTCCGTGTCTCACCGCGTCTCACTGTGTCTCACTGTGTCTCACCGTGTCTCTCTGTGTCTCACTGTGTCTCACCGTGTCTCTCTGTGTCTCACTGTGTCTCACCGCGTCTCACCGCGTCTCACTGTGTCTCACTGTGTCTCACCGTGTCTCTCTGTGTCTCACCGTGTCTTTCTGTGTCTCACCGTGTCTCTCTGTGTCTCACTGTGTCTCACCGTGTCTCACTGTGTCTCTCCGTGTCTCACTGTGTGTCTCTCTGTGTCTCACTGTGTCTCACTGTGTCTCTCCGTGTCTCTCCATGTCTCTCCGTGTCTCACCGTGTCTCACCGTGTCTCTCCGCGTCTCACTGTGTCTCACCGTGTCTCCCCGTGTCTCCCCGTGTCTCCCCGTGCCTCACCGTGTCTCCCCGTGTCTCACCGTGTCTCACCGTGTCCCCGTGTCTCACCATGTCTCACCGTGTCTCACCGTGTCCCCGTGTCTCACCGTGTCTCACCGTGTGTCTCACCGTGTCTCACCGTGTCCCCGTGTCTCACCGTGTCTCACCGTGTCTCCCCGTGTCTCACCGTGTCTCACTGTGTCTCACTGTGTCTCACCGTGTCTCACCGTGTCTCACCGTGTCTCTCTGTGTCTCACCGTGTCTCACCGTGTCTCTCCGTGTCTCACCGCGTCTCACTGTGTCTCACTGTGTCTCACCGTGTCTCTCTGTGTCTCACCCTGTCTCTCTGTGTCTCACTGTGTCTCACCGTGTCTCTCTGTGTCTCACTGTGTCTCACCGCGTCTCACCGCGTCTCACTGTCTCACTGTGTCTCACCGTGTCTCACCGTGTCTCACCGTGTCTCACTGTGTGTCTCACCGTGTCTCACTGTGTCTCACCGTGTCTCTCTGTGTCTCACTGTGTCTCACTGTGTCTCACCGTGTCTCACCGTGTCTCTCCGTGTCTCACCGTGTCTCACCATGTCTCACCGTGTCTCACCGTGTCTCACCGTGTCTCTCTGTGTCTCACTGTGTCTCACCGTGTCTCTCTGTGTCTCACTGTGTCTCACCGTGTCTCACCGTGTCTCACCGTGTCTCACCGTGTCTCTCCGTGTCTCACCGCGTCTCACTGTGTCTCACTGTGTCTCACCGTGTCTCTCTGTGTCTCACTGTGTCTCACCGTGTCTCTCTGTGTCTCACTGTGTCTCACCGCGTCTCACCGCGTCTCACTGTGTCTCACTGTGTCTCACCGTGTCTCTCTGTGTCTCACCGTGTCTTTCTGTGTCTCACTGTGTCTCACCGTGTCTCTCTGTGTCTCACTGTGTCTCACCGTGTCTCACCGTGTCTCACTGTGTCTCACTGTGTCTCACCGTGTCTCTCTGTGTCTCACCGTGTCTCTCTGTGTCTCACCGTGTCTCTCTGTGTCTCACTGTGTCTCACCGTGTCTCACTGTGTCTCTCCGTGTCTCACTGTGTGTCTCTCTGTGTCTCACCGTGTCTCACCATGTCTCACCGTGTCTCACCGTGTCTCACCGTGTCTCACCGTGTCTCACCGTGTCTCTCTGTGTCTCACCGTGTCTCTCTGTGTCTCACTGTGTCTCACTGTGTCTCTCCGTGTCTCTCCGTGTCTCTCCGTGTCTCACCGTGTCTCACCGTGTCTCACCGTGTCTCTCCGCGTCTCACTGTGTCTCACCGTGTCTCCCCGTGTCTCCCCGTGTCTCCCCGTGCCTCACCGTGTCTCCCCGTGTCTCACCGTGTCTCACCGTGTCCCCGTGTCTCACCGTGTCTCACCGTGTCTCACCGTGTCCCCGTGTCTCACCGTGTCTCACCGTGTGTCTCACCGTGTCTCACCGTGTCCCCGTGTCTCACCGTGTCTCACCGTGTCTCCCCGTGTCTCACCGTGTCTCACCGTGTCCCCGTGTCTCACCATGTCTCACCATGTCTCACCGTGTCCCCGTGTCTCACCGTGTCTCACCGTGTCTCACCGTGTGTCTCACCGTGTCTCACCGTGTCCCCGTGTCTCACCGTGTCTCACCGTGTCTCACCGTGTCTCCCCGTGTCTCACCGTGTCTCACCGTGTCCCCGTGTCTCACCATGTCTCACCATGTCTCACCTTGTCCCCGTGTCTCACCGTGTCTCACCGTGTGTCTCACCGTGTCTCACCGTGTCCCCGTGTCTCACCGTGTCTCACCGTGTCTCACCGTGTCCCCGTGTCTCACCGTGTCTCACCGTGTCCCCGTGTCTCACCGTGTCTCACCGTGTCTCACCGTGTCTCCCCGTGTCTCACCGCGTGTCCCCCGTGTCCCCGTGTCTCACCGTGTCTCACCGTGTCCCCGTGTCTCACCGTGTCCCCGTGTCTCACCGCGTGTCCGCCGTGTGTCCCAGTGTTCCGCGTGAACCTGCCCTGCACGGGCCGCGTTGAGAGCGAAGTGGCTCTGCTCATGCAGCTGAACCTCACCGCCACCTCCACCTCCACCACCTCCACCGCCACCTCCACCGCGGCCGGGAAAAACGTCACCACCCTCAACTTCAAGCGGCGGAAATCCTGCTCCCGACGTACGCACACACACGCGCGCACGCAGACACGCGCACACACATGTACACGCACACACATGCACACGCACACGCGTGTCCCGTCTCGTCTCCTACCCCCCCGCCTGTCCGCATAACCGCCTGTCCAGTTAACCGCCTTTACCCATAACCGCCTGTTCAGCTAACCGTCTGTCCGCGTCACCTCCTGTACACGCTTGCGCCCCTCTCTCTGTGTCTCTGTGTGCTCTGCAGAAGCCGATCTGGATGAAGGACCGCTCGGTCCATCCACCGGTGAGAAGCCACGCGCACGCACACAAAGGCAAAGATCCCCCGTATAGCCTTAGCAGACTGTCAGGGCAAGTGCTGTTAGCGAGCACCTACACGAGGGGGTGGGTGGCCAGCACCACGTCCGACCGCCTTTGTTTTCCCCAGTGGCGATGGTTACACACCACACCAGGTACTCATTTGATGCTGAGTCGACCTAGGTGAAGCCCAGGACCGGTTCAGATAATCGTCACTGGGTGTTGGCTGTGTGCGGGAATCGGACTCGGTTCTCCGGGTTCATAGCGCAGCGCTAACCACTGCACCACTGCTCCCCGCACGCACGCACACACACGCACATGCACACGCGCACGCATACACTCGCACACACATGCACACCCACACACGCACCCAAACACACACCGCCGCTTGTTGTTGTTGTGGTGGTTGTTGTTGCGATTGTTGCTGAGGTTGTGGTGATGTCCTACCGCTTGTTGTTGTGGTTGTTTTTGTTGTGGTTGTTTTTGTTGTTATTGCGATTATTTCGGTAATGCCCCCGCCGCCTGTTGTTGTTGATGTTGCTGTGGTTGTTGTTGTTGCTGCGTCGGCGCCGCCGCCAGACGGGCACGGCGGCGCGACGGTGGCGGTGGCGGCGGCGGCGGCGGCGACGACGTCGACGCGCGTCTTCTACATCAGCGTGGGCGTCTGCTGCGCCGTCATCTTCCTGGTGGCGCTCGTGCTGGCGCTGCTGCACATCCACAGCATGAAGAAGGTGGAGGAGGACAGGTGACGCCTGAGCCACCACCACCACCACCACTCGCACGTGTGTGCACGTGTGTGTGGAGTGTGTGTGTGTGCGGAGTGTGTGTGTGGAGTGTGTGGCCGTGTGTGTATGTGTGTGGAGTGTGTGTGCCGTGTGTGTGGAGTGCGTGTGTGTGGGTGTGTGTGTGGAGTGTGTGAGTGTGTGTGCCGCGTGTGTGGACCGTGTGTGTGTGGACCGTGTGTGTGTGTGTGTGGAGTGTGTGTGTGCTACGTGTGTGGAGTTTGTGTGTGCCGTGTGTGTGTGCCGCGTGTGTGTGTTACCGTGTGTTTATACTAAACGTGTTATGTGTGTGTGTGTACCGTGTGTTTATACAGTGTGTGTGTACTGTGTGTGTGTACCGTGTGTTTATACTAAACCCGTTATGTGTGTGTGTTTACCGTGTGTTTATACAGTGTGTGTGTACCGTGTGTGTGTACCGCGTGTTTATACAGTGTGTGTGTACTGTGTGTGTGTACCGTGTGTTTATGCTAAACGTGTGTGTGTGTGTATGTTTATACTAAACGTGTGTGTGTGTGCCGTGTGTTTATACTAAACGCGTTACGTGTGTGTGCCGTGTGTCCCGCGTGCAGCCTGTTTGACAGTGAGAGCACCCAGGGGCTGTCCCAGCCGTCCACACAGACGACGCAGTGCCTGCGCGCGGACACCCCCAACAACGCCGCTCCCATCACCAGTACGTCACCCCACGTCACACCCCACGTCACACCCCACATCACACCCCACGTCACACCCCACGTCACACCCCACGTCACGACGTCACCCCCCACGTCACACCCCACGTCACCCCCCACGTCACCCCCCACGTCACCCCCACGTCACGACGTCACCCCCCACGTCACCCCCCACGTCACCCCCCACGTCACCCCCCACGTCACGACGTCACCCCCCCACGTCACACCCCACGTCACCCCCCACGTCACCCCCCACGTCACACCCCACGTCACCCCCACGTCACGACGTCACCCCCCACGTCACACCCCACGTCACCCCCCCCGTCACCCCCCACGTCACCCCCCACGTCACACCCCACGTCACCCCACACGTCACGACGTCACCCCCCACGTCACCCCCCACGTCACCCCCCACGTCACCCCCCACGTCACCCCCCCCACGACACCCCCCACGTCACCCCCCACGTCACCCCCCACGTCACCCCCCACGTCACCCCCCACGTCACCCCCCACGTCACCCCCCACGTCACCCCCCACGTCACCCCCCACGTCACCCCCACGTCACCCCCCCCCACGACACCCCCCACGTCACCCCCCACGTCCCCCCCCACGTCACCCCCCACGTCACCCCCCACGTCACCCCCCACGTCACCCCCCACGTCACCCCCACGTCACCCCCCACGTCACCCCCCCCACGACACCCCCCACGTCACTCCCCACGTCACCCCCCACGTCACCCCCCACGACACCCCCCATGTCACCCCCCACGTCACCCCCCACGTCGCCCCTCGTGTCGCATGTTCTCACCGTACGAAGCCATCCGTGCTCATCCGAGGTGCGGTAAACACACGTTCAGCGTGTTTGTCTGCTACTAGACGTTTTGCACACGACGATGACGATGACGACGATGACGATGACGACGATGACGACGACGACGATGACGATGACGACGATGACGACGATGACGAAGACGACGATGACGACGATGACGACGATGACGACGAAGACGACGACGACGAGACGACGATGACGACGATGACGACGACGACGATAACGACGACGACGACGATGACGAAGACGACGATGACGAAGACGACGATGACGACGATGACGAAGACGACGATGACGACGACGATGACGACGATGATGACGATGATGATGACGACGACGATGATGATGACGTTGATGATGACGATTATGATGACGTTGATGATGACGGTGATGATGACGTTGATGGGTGGTGGTGGTGATGATGACGATGATGATGACGTTGATGGTGGTGGTGATGATGACGTTGATGATGACGTTGATGGTGGTGGTGATGACGATGATGATGACGTTGACGGTGGTGGTGATGATGATGATGACGTTGATGGTGGTGGTGACGATGACGATGATGATGACGTTGATGATGACGTTGATGATGACGTTGATGGGTGGTGGTGATGATGACGTTGATGATGACGTTGATGGTGGTGGTGATGATGACGATGATGATGACGTTGATGATGACGTTGATGATGACGTTGATGGTGGTGGTGATGACGATGATGATGACGTTGATGGTGGTGGTGACGATGACGATGATGATGACGTTGATGATGACGTTGATGATGACGATGACGTTGATGATGATTTTTATGGGTGGTGGTGATGATGACGTTGATGATGACGATGATGATGACGTTGATGGTGATGGTGGTGGTGACGATGACGATGATGAACCACTTGGTTGAGACGTCATTCGTGACGACCGGGTCGCTTAGCAGCAGCTCACTAGGATCCTCACGCCTGCTAAAATAAATAATAAAATACTTTAAGAGTTTGTAGCCTGCAACAGACTGCTGGGGCAAGTGCTGTTAGCGAGTAGCAGCACCTTCGAATGCCGGCACGGCACACGAGGGGGTGGGTGGCCAGCACCACGCCCGGCCGCCTTTGTCTCCCCAGTGGCGACGTTTACTAGAAATGTTGCACACAAGTTTTAAGAGTGCACCTCCGTGGGGCAGCGCCAAGCGAGGGTCGTGGACCCTGTCCCTGACCCCCCGGCCCCCCCGCCCACTGGGCCCGGAGCTCTCACCCTGGAGCTCGAGGCTGAGCGAGCGTTGTCATGCCGTGCCTGCTACGCCCATCGCTTGCCGATCGGAACGATCGCTGCACCGGCCCCCGTGACGTCCCTGCCCCTCTGATCGACGTCCCTGCCCCCTCGGCCTGCCCTCCTGCCCCCCCCTGCCCCCCCCCCCCCCCGCGACTGGGAGTAGACTACCCGAGCCTGAAGATTGAGAAGAACGACCTGAAGCCACTGAACCTGCCAGAGGCGAAGAGTCGCGTGCGTGACATCGCCGTGGCGCGCGAGAGGGTCACGCTCAAGCAGGTGCTGCAGGAAGGTACGCACGCACGCACACATGCACACACACACGCACACGCAGACACATACACACACGCAGACACGCAGAGATATACACAGATATACACACACAGACACGCACATACACACACACACACGCAGACACGCAGACACAGGCACACGCAGACACACACGCAGACACACACACATGCAGACACGCACACACACACAGATATACACACACAGACAGAGATATACACAGATATACAAACGCACACAGATATACACACACGTACACACAGACACGTAGACACACACACACACGCAGACACACACACGCAGAAACACACACACGCAGACACACACACGCACACACGCACACATATATACACAGACACACACGCACACACACATACACAGACACATACACACTCGCACGCGCACACATACGCACACACACGCAGACACACACACGCACATACACACACACACGCACACACACACGCAGACACACACACGCAAACACACACACACGCAGACACGTACACACACAGACACGCACACACACACAGACACGCAGACACGCGCACATACGCAGACACGCACACACACACGCAGACACGCAGACACACAGACACACACACAGAGATATATACAGATATACACAGACGCGCACATGCACACAGATATACACAGACGCACACATGCACACACAGACACGCAGACACACACACAGATATACACAGATGCACACATGCACACACAGACACGCAGACACACACACAGATATACACAGACGCACACATGCACACACACAGACACGCAGACACACACACAGATATACACAGACGCACAGACACACACATACACACACGCACAGACGCACACATGCACACGCACACGCAGACATGCACACAGATATACACAGACGCACACAGATATACACAGACGCACACATGCACACGCACACATGCACATGCACACACACACACGCAGACATGTAGACACACACAGATATACACAGACGCACACGCAGACACACACACAGATATACACGCACACACAGACACCAAAAAAGACAAACATCTCCCATCTAGCCTTAACAGACTGGGGCAAGTGCTGTTAGCGAGCACCTATGAAGGTGGCGATGCTCACACATTGCACCAGGTACTCATTTGAGGCTAAGTCGACCTAGGAGAGACCCAGGACCAGATTCAGATAATCGTCACCGGTGTTGGTGGCCGTGAGCGGGAATCGAACTCGGGTCACCGGGTTCGTAGCGCAGCGTAGCGCTAACCGCTGCACCACCGCTCCCCACTCGCGCGCACACTCGCAGTTGCTTGTTTGAGGGCCGGCGCTATGAACCCGCCACGCGCTGACAGCACTTGCCCCTACCGTGTGTGAAGGCTGCGCTGTTGGGCCTCTGTGTGGGTGTGGCGACAGGAACATTTGGCAGGATCTACCACGGCGTGCTGCTCGATGAGAAGGACCCCAAGGTGGAGAAGGAGGTGTTCGTCAAAACCGTCAACGGTACGTAGTCAACCGCGGTCGACAACGGTGCGTAGACAACCGCGGTCGACAACGGTGCGTAGACAACCGCGGTCGACAACGGTGCGTAGACAACCGTGGTCGACAACGGTGCGTAGTCAACCAAGGTCGACAACGGTGCGTAGACAACCGCGGTCGACAACAGTGCGTAGTCAACCGAGGTCGACAACGGTGCGTAGACAACCGCGGTCGACAACGGTGCGTAGACAACCGCGGTCGACAACGGTGCGTAGTCAACCGCGGTCGACAACGGTGCGTAGACAACCGCGGTCGACAACGGTGCGTAGACGACCGCGGTCGTCAACGGTGCGTAGTCGACCGTGGTCGACAACGGTACGTAGACAACCGAGGTCGACAACGGTGCATAGACAACCGAGGTCGACAACGGTGCGTAGACAACCGCGGTCGATGGTTCATCACGCAGCGACGCGCTAACCGCTACCCTACCGCTCCCCGTACACTCACGCACACGCAGTGGCAAATTATCGCCCCCTACCGGCAGTAGAGTTGACGCCCGCCTGCAGGCCAAGGCAGAGGTCGCAACCGGGTACCCGATACCCGTACCCTACCCGATACCCGGCTACCCGTACCCAGCCGGGATCTTGGCCATCGCAAATGATAGCTCGGCAAAGTGGCTCATCGTCGTGCGCACATTTATATCAGTAGCCAAATGCTCTGAGCGCTTGATGACGATTCTAAATGTGGAGGGAAAAACTGGAGGACCCGGAGCAACATCCACGCAGCCACGGGGGAAGAGAGAGAGAGAGAGAGAGGGGACATGCAGACTCAGGGTTGGTATCGCAGCCACGACCTCCTGTACACCAGGCGAGGGAGTTAACATCTCACCATCGCTCCATCTCACCATCGCTCCATCTCGCCATCGCTCCATCTCCTCAGCAAACACGCGGTGTGTGTCTGACCCTGTGACCCCCTGTCTGACCCTATGACCCCCACAGAGCACGCCTCCGAGGTCCAGGTCGTCCTCATGCTCACGGAGAGCTGCAAGCTGCGCGGGCTGCACCACCGGTGAGACGCGGCGAGCTCGGGTTAGCGCCGTCGGCTACGTACGGTGGTGCGGAAGAAGTTCAACACACGCATGCAGATGTGCAGACGTACAGACGTACAGACGTGCAGACGTGCAGACGTGCAGACGTGCAGACGTGCAGACGTGCAGACGTGCAGACGTGCAGACGTAGAGACGTGCAGACGTGCAGACGTACAGACGTACAGACGTGCATGCACACAACACTATACCACCACCATCATCATCTCACCAGCATTGTCGTCGTTAGCGCGCCGCGCTACGAACCCGAGTTCGATTCCCGATCATGGCGAACACCGGTGACGATTATCGGAAGCGGTCTTGGGTCTCCCCTAGGACGACTCAGCCTCAAATGAGTAGCTGGTGCGGTGTGTGAACATCAACACTGGGGACACAAAGGCGGCCGGGTGTGGTGCTTGCCACCCCCTTGTGTGCTGTTCCGGCCTTCATAGGTGCTACTCGCTACCAGCACTTGCCCCAACAGTCTGTTAAGGCTATATGGGGGGTCTTTGTCTTTGATGGTGGAGATGGTGATGACGGTGGTGACGATGATGATAACAATGATGGCGGTAATGATGATGATGGTGACGGTAATGATGGTGGTGATGATGATGATGGCGGTGACGATAGTGGTGATGATGATAGTGGTGATGATGACGGTAATGGTGATGATGACGGAGATGGTGATGATCATGATGACGGTAATGATGATGATGACGTAGATGGTGATGATGATGATGATGACGGTAATGATGATGATGACGTAGATGGTGATGATGATGATGACGGTAATGATGATGATGATGACGTAGATGGTGATGATGATGATGACGGTAATGATGATGATGATGACAGTAATGATGATGATGACGTAGATGGTGATGATGATGATGACGGTAATGGTGATGATGATGATGACAGTGATGATGGTGATGACAGTGTGTGTGTGGGATGGTGATGATGATTGTGACTGCGTGTGTGTGATGATGGTGATGACTGTGTGTGTGTGTGGGATGGTGATGATGATTGTGACTGCGTGTGTGTTATTATGGTGATGACAGTAATGATGACGGTGATAGTTTTGATGATGATGGCGGTAATGATGATGGTGATGATTATGACGGTGACAGTGATGATGATGACGGTAATGATGATGATGATGACGATAGTGATGGTGATGATGACAGTCATGGTGATGACGGTGATAGTATTGATGATGGTGGTGGTGATGATGGTGGTGATGATGACGGTGGTGATGATGATGATGATGTTGGTGATGAAGATAATGTTGGTGATGATGGTGGTGGTGGAGTGTGTGTGTGATGGTGATGATGATGGTGTGTGTGTGTGTGTGATGATGATGACTGTGTGTGTGATGGTGATGATGACTGTGTGTGATGATGATGATGGTGTGTGATGGTGATGATGATGATGGTAACTGTGTGTGTGATGGTGATGATGGTGATGGTGTGTGTAATGGTGATGATGATGACGACTGTGTGTGTGATGGTGATGATGATGATGATGGTGTGTGTGTGATGGTGGTGATGATGATGGTAACTGTATGTGTGTGTGTGTGATGATGATAATGATGATGATGGTGTGTGTGTGATGGTGGTGATGATGATGTTAACTGTATGTGTGTGCGTGTGCGTGACGAGGAACCTGCTGCCGATCTATGCGGTATGCGTGTGTGATGGTGATGGTGTGTGTGTGTGATGATGGTAACTGTGTGTGTGTGATGGTGATGATGCTGGTGTGATGATGGTGATGATGGTGATGACTGTGTGTGTGCGTGATGGTGATGATGATGGTGTGTGTGTGATGGTGATGACTGTGTGTGTGTGATGGTGATGATGATGATGGTGTGTGTGTGATGGTGATGACTGTGTGTGTGTGATGGTGATGATGATGATGGTGTGTGTGTGTGATGGTGATGACTGTGTGTGTGATGGTGATGATGACGGTAACTGTGTGTGTGTGTGATGGTGATGGTAACTGTGTGTGTGATGATGATGGTGTGTGTGTGATGGTGATGACTGTGTGTGTGTGATGGTGATGACTGTGTGTGTGTGATGGTGATGATGATGATGATGGTGTGTGTGATGGTGACGACTGTGTGTGTGTGTGTGTGATGGTGATGACTGTGTGTGTGTGATGGTGATGATGATGATGGTGTGTGTGATGGTGATGACTGTGTGTGTGTGATGGTGATGATGATGATGGTGTGTGTGTGTGATGGTGATGACTGTGTGTGTGATGGTGATGATGACGGTAACTGTGTGTGTGTGTGATGGTGATGGTAACTGTGTGTGTGATGATGATGATGGTGTGTGTGTGATGGTGATGACTGTGTGTGTGTGATGGTGATGATGATGATGGTGTGTGTGTGATGGTGATGACTGTGTGTGTGTGATGGTGATGATGATGATGGTGTGTGTGTGATGGTGATGACTGTGTGTGTGTGATGGTGATGATGATGATGGTGTGTGTGTGATGGTGATGACTGTGTGTGTGTGATGGTGATGATGATGATGGTGTGTGTGTGATGGTGATGACTGTGTGTGTGTGATGGTGACGATGATGATGGTGTGTGTGTGTGTGTGATGGTGATGACTGTGTGTGTGATGATGATGATGGTGTGTGTGTGATGGTGATGACTGTGTGTGTGTGATGGTGATGATGATGTGTGTGTGTGTGATGGTGATGACTGTGTGTGTGTGATGGTGATGATGATGATGGTGTGTGTGTGATGGTGATGACTGTGTGTGTGTGATGGTGATGATGATGGTGTGTGTGTGATGGTGATGACTGTGTGTGTGTGATGGTGATGATGATGATGATGGTTTGTGTGTGATGGTGATGACTGTGTGTGTGTGATGGTGATGATGATGATGGTGTGTGTGTGTGATGGTGATGACTGTGTGTGTGATGGTGATGATGACAGTAACTGTGTGTGTGTGTGATGGTGATGGTAACTGTGTGTGTGTGATGGTGATGGTAACTGTGTGTGTGATGATGATGATGGTGTGTGTGTGATGGTGATGACTGTGTGTGTGTGATGGTGATGATGATGATGGTGTGTGTGTGATGGTGATGACTGTGTGTGTGTGATGGTGATGATGATGATGTGTGTGTGATGGTGATGATGATGATGGTGTGTGTGTGATGGTGATGACTGTGTGTGTGTGATGGTGACGATGATGATGGTGTGTGTGTGTGTGATGGTGATGACTGTGTGTGTGATGATGATGATGGTGTGTGTGTGGTGATGATGATGTGTGTGTGTGTGATGGTGATGACTGTGTGTGTGTGATGGTGATGATGATGATGGTGTGTGTGTGATGGTGATGACTGTGTGTGTGTGATGGTGATGATGATGATGGTGTGTGTGTGATGGTGATGACTGTGTGTATGTGATGGTGATGATGATGATGGTGTGTGTGTGTGATGGTGATGACTGTGTGTGTGATGGTGATGATGACGGTAACTGTGTGTGTGTGTGATGGTGATGGTAACTGTGTGTGTGATGGTGATGGTAACTGTGTGTGTGATGATGGTAACTGTATGTGTGTTTGTGCGTCATGAGGAACCTGCTGCCGATCTTTGCGGTGTGCGTATGTGATGATGATGATGGTGATGATAATGGTGTGTGTGTAATGATGATGGTGTGATGGTGATGATGATGATGGTAATTGTGTGTGTGTGATGATGATGGTAACTGTGTGTGTGATGATGACTGTGTGTGTGTGCGTGACGAGGAACCTGCTGCCCATCTGTGCGGTGTGCGTGTGTGATGGTGATGGTAACTGTGTGTGTGTGTGATGATGACTGTGTGTGTGTGATGATGGTAACTGTGTGTGTGTGATGGTGATGATGATGGTGATGATGGTAACTGTATGTGTGTGTGTGTGATGATGACTGTGTGTGTGTGTGTGTGTGTGATGATGATTGTGTGTGTGTGTGTGATGCTGACTGTGTGTGTGATGATGATGACTGTGTGTGTGTGTGATGATTACTGTGTGTGTGTGTGTGCGTGACGAGGAACCTGCTGCCCATCTGTGCGGTGTGTGTGTGTGATGATGACTGTGTGTGTGAGATGATGACTGTGTGCGTGTGTGATGATGACTGTGTGTGTGTGTGATGATGACTGTGTGTGTGTGTGATGATGACTGTGTGTGTGTGTGATGATGACTGTGTGTGTGTGATGATGACTGTGTGTGTGTGTGATGATGACTGTGTGTGTGTGTGATGATGACTGTGTGCGTGTGTGATGATGACTGTGTGTGTGTGTGATGATGACTGTGTGTGTGTGTGATGATGACTGTGTGTGTGTGTGATGATGACTGTGTGCGTGTGTGATGATGACTGTGTGTGTGTTGTGATGATGACTGTGTGTGTGTGAGATGATGACTGTGTGTGTTGTGAGATGATGACTGTGTGTGTGTGTGATGATGACTGTGTGCGTGTGTGATGATGACTGTGTGCGTGTGTGATGATGACTGTGTGCGTGTGTGATGATGACTGTGTGCGTGTGTGATGATGACTGTGTGCGTGTGTGATGATGACTGTGTGTGTGTGAGATGATGACTGTGTGTGTGATGATGACTGTGTGCGTGTGTGATGATGACTGTGTGCGTGTGATGATGACTGTGTGTGTGTGTGATGATGACTGTGTGTGTGTGATGATGACTGTGCGTGTGTGATGATGACTGTGTGTGTGTGAGATGATGACTGTGTGTGTGTGTGATGATGACTGTGTGCGTGTGTGATGATGACTGTGTGTGTGTGTGTGATGATGACTGTGTGTGTGTGATGATGACTGTGCGTGTGTGATGATGACTGTGTGTGTGTGATGATGACTGTGCGTGTGTGTGTGATGATGACTGTGTGCGTGTGTGATGATGACTGTGTGTGTGTGTGTGATGATGACTGTGTGTGTGTGATGATGACTGTGCTGTGTGATGATGACTGTGTGTGTGTG